TAATATGAGCAGCCTCTAAAGGCTGGGAGTTTGCACTGGCACAGGCTGAAGCTAAATGCTGAGAATTTCATTTTCTTCTCATCTTACTGAAGTGTCTTTGACTTCCCAAAATTATTGCATATTTTATAGGCATTGCCTACCTTTTAAAAGTATCAGCATGCCTTGTTACTAGATAAGCAGCAAAGGAAGCAAGAACTCTTTAGAATCTGATTTTTTGGTACTTTGTCTTGTTTCCCAGTCAAAACTAGGAAAATGAGAGTCCACAAAAGAATGTTTAAAAGGCAAAGGAAGTCACGTACCTTTTTAAACCAAACTAACAAGTGACAGTTAAAAATTAGTCATTTCACATTGCCTCTGATATGCTGTGATGTTCCAATTCTCCTTTTCTTGATTAACCATGATACTAGCAGAATTAAAATAAGCTGAATGATCTGCTTTTCCTATCAACAAATGTCCTAGCCTAACTTGGTCATTGAGGCCTGCGAAAACTGTTTATAGGATCATACATTTTTCTGTTATGAACATTATCACTTCTTTCCATCATATTTATCCCATGAATAACAGAATAGTTTGAGCCAAATTGAACTTAAAAAACATAAATATATATATAAGATTCATACCAACCAGCTTTTCATCACCTTGGTGTGAGCCAGCTGTCTCAGCTCAAGCAATAACTGATGGAGAAGAAATGAGACATTTCTAAAAAGACACTATGCTATCATAAAGAAGAAAAAAAAAAGTCTAAGAAACAAACAAACACAGACATACCATATTCTTCCTCAAAATTTACCAYCAGTAGAATATCTAGGCAGTCTTTAAATGATAAGAATGTTCTTTCCTTGGCCTGTCATCCATAAGGCAATATAATTAAGAGGAAATGAGAAGGATGGTAATTAAGTGAGACTGACTTCTTTATGGTAAAAGGCAATTCCTCTTTATTAGGTCAAAGAATATATTTGGAAAAGATAAATAAATAAAAAAAGAACCAGGAAATTGGATTAAGCACGGATCTGGGAGAGTTTGGATCTGACTTTAACTTTTTTAAACACTAAGAAAATTTGAGCAACATTTGAGGTGGGGAAGATGGTTAATACCTGAGGGATGTTAGTAAGGAGAGATGTCGAAGTCTTAAACCCTTGCAAGACAGAGAGGGAGTAAGAGGAAGATAATCATTATTTGTGACAGGCAACCAGGAGGTGTAATTCCAGAAAAAAAAATGCAATGAAGCATGAAACCATTGCCTCTGTTGGGGCCATGATTTTTGGTCTCCAGCAGATTCAGTTTGGTGTTGAGCAAAATCATATGAAAGGTTTTTTTTTTTTTTTTTTTTTTTTTTTTTTTTTTCCTTAGAGCCATTTGTTTTGCTGAACCTTCTACC